TAAAATATTGGATTTTGATAGAGCATTTCCATATCTGACTTTACACGATCTTTATCCAATGAATGCTTTTATCCAGTTTAGCATGTTATGCTTAATACCAATCTTTGTCAATTTTAGAATTAGCTTCTCATTCCATACTAAGTCATATGCTGATTTGAAATCGACGAAAACAGTCTTAAGTATATTTCTTGCATCAAGGGCATCTTTGATGTGTTGGGAGAAAGTGACCACTTGTTGGTTCGTTGATCTTTGCGGCCTGAAACCTGCTTGTTCACTCCTAAGAATATTGCTGGTCTCAAGGAACCAGGTCAGCCTCCTGTTAACCATTCTTTCCAAAAGTTTAGTCAGAACTCTTGTGAGGGAGATAGGCCTATAGTTGTCAAAGTTGCTATTGTCTTTGCCTTTTTTAGTACTGGTATTACTATGGCAACTTTCCATTGGTTAGGTACGAGACTGGTCTCCCAGATTTTGTTGAAAAGCGTCAGCATGGTTTCCTTTGCTTTCGGTCCCATTCTAATTAGAAATTCCGGTTGAATACCGTCTTCACCAGGAGACTTCTTGCACTTTAGCTGTTTTATCGTAGCATTAAGTTCTCAAGGTCTGAATGGTTCAGTGAGTACATTATTTGGTGGAAATAGAACCTCGCATAGTAGTTAGCTATTTCGGAGTCGGTGGTAAGCAGTTTGTTTTTTTAAACGTATTGGTTCTTTCTTGGGTCTTTCCCTGTTGTATTTAAACGTATTGGTTCTTTCTTGGGTCTTTCCTGGCTAGTGAAAGTTTTATCCATGAAGAAGAGAGAAATCAAATTATCAATCATGTGTACTCGCTGCACAAGTAGGCGTGAAATCTAGTTTCAAACAGGAATGACCTACTCAAGTACACTGATTCCAGAGATATTTTCACTTTTAACCACATCTGACTATCCTCGTGGTTGCAATATTTAACTGTAATCATTTGGATTCATCAAATGACGAAAAATTCAGCAAGAAAAGATCTAAAAATATCCTCAATTCAGTTGTGCTCTTTCATATTATAATTTCATCAAAAATGATCTTTTTTTAATAAGTTCTAAAATTTTTCTGCCACATGGAACTAATTTTAATAATTCATGGAAAGAAAATTATAATTTAAATATTGTGTCACCTTTGCATTTTCCTTTAATAAACAAAGAACGGAATGAGGAAAAACTGAGAACAAAGATTCTACAAGGATTGTAGGGAAAAAAATTAAAAAAAGATTAAAGTTTAGACGTTTGAAGTATTGTCAACGGATTTGTTTTAAAATTCAAATTGATTCGGTATTATCGTGATCCTTGAAATAGATTAAAAGTCCAAATTTTAGTGTACGTCACTATTGTCATATACATAAATCCGACTCCATTCTAAGCAGGCATAATCTAGTGCCAATATTTAACATGCCACATTTCAAGTAATTTTAAAGAAATTTTATTTAGCAGATCGAAAGCAAAGACCAGAGCATCAGAAGAACAAGTGCTTACAATTTTTAAAACAATGCCACAAGTGAAAAAATGTCAAAAAAACGCACAATTCCCATCTAAGAATGTCTACTACATAAACCATGTAAAAAATATCTAATCAATTATATTTTTACTACTTGTTACATGGAATTCATTAATCAAATATAATTATTAGACAACACTTCCTCCTCATCACTGAATATGGTGAAAATTTGATGAAAAAGTTGCTTTTACTCTATTTGTTTATTCGTTATGACAATCAAATTTAAACTTTTAATTGATGCACAGTTGGAAGCAGGCTTAAAAGAACTCGATCTTTTGACAGGTACTATACGAATAATCCTTTGATAAGTACTTAATTATTCTTATCACAATTCTCCCAGCTGAATATAAGTACAATTAGCCTCTGATAGAGTCGTCTAATATGAACTATTTGTACTTGGCTGAAATTTTTTGAACTTTTAAGGGGATCGCTAGTACTTAGCTGGAGAAATTTTTGTAGACTATCTCCTTAAATCTGTCTAAAAGGTCCATTCAAGAGGTTCAAAAATGACACAGCACATGAATGCGACAAACCTGCTAGCATCCAAATGTTAAATTTTAAAAACTAGCTGTGAAACAATTTAATCATTTTAACAGACTCCTGACTGAAAAATTCTATGGCCAAAAGTGTTTCAAATAATCAAGGTAGCTCATTTTAAACTTACCCTGAGTTTCGGTTCGGTTAAGTATCGGAAAAGTATGAATCCAGTAGCCAATAGGAAAGTGAGAAAGACTTCTTTTATCGTCGGTGATCCTTCAGTGAAAAGTCTTCGGGTAAATTCGTGATCATAGGGATATTTTTCCCAATCGAAAGCCAATTCCGAAAATACATAGTACGTTTGTTTAATAAATATCGGAATCGTTGGAGGGTCCTTATTATTATCTGATAAGTCCGGATCCTCAACAGTTTCTGCTAAACTTCGCGATGAAGTAAGGAGCACAATAAACAACGTTAACATAACGTTCAAAAAAAGCTCTTGGCTCATTTAATAGGTCTGACTCGGGCTTTGAACACAAATAATAATCATATGTAAAGCGCGTACGAGAACCTATCAGAGAGCTGCACCGATATATGCGCAAATATAGTAGTAGTGATTGGCTGGAATCCTTAACTGTTCAAGGTCGTAGAGTTTTGGGAGAATATAAGTTGAGTTCAGGATGGGAAATAAGTACATGCGATTCTTTTTCTATATATTGGTAATGCGTTGATGATAAATTCTCTTGGGCGGATTGAAGTCGTTGAACTACCTGAAACTTTAGTGACCTTTTGATGAAAAAAGGGAATAGCATTTAAAATGCAATAAAGAAGCTGGTAAATGTAAGGAAACTATCATTTTTCCCAACAAAACGACTCTTATGGGTAAGATTCCTTGTTTTTACCATTTAATTATCCCATTTACTCGAAAAATTCTTTAATCGGCTGTAAATCGTCTTAACAAAAAAACCACTTTCAATACGCAAATGTTTATCGCGATATGACATTGCGATTTGGGTAATTGATAGAACAAGGGAGGGTTTGTTAAACAAAATATGGACTATTGATTGGTGGTTAACTAGGTGGTCTCTGCACTCATGACGTAGATTAACACGTCTACGTCTGTGTGCGCATGAAATTCCTTTGCTTAATGACGATAGCGTTGTGTGCTCCAAACCATCAGGGGAATAATTTAGTATTGCCGAGTTCTTGATTATTATACCAATTTGGAGGATAATTAGGCTACAACAGTGTTGACGCATCTTGCTTGTCATCTCTGACAATCCCGAAACGCTAAAATCACAGGAATCTTCGGCTTACCACATGCAGTGAATCGTTCGATTTTTATCAAAATTTTTGTGAGCTTTTCGGTATAGTAAGTAGCCTTTCTAAAAAAATTCAGCTAAATCCCTTTTTGTACTTGCTCCACCCCCCCCCCCTCTTCCAAAGTGTCTCAACCAAGACTTTTGTTGAAATGGCGTTGCACTTATTACTCAAAGATAGTATATAAACCGTGATTCTCGATACTTGATACCGTGATTCTTCCATACTTGAAGTCGTTCTAGCACAGCTCGTCATTGAGGCTACTGTTCCCAAGTAATAGTAATTTTCAAAATCATGCCCGCTTGATTGAAAGACAGATTGAATAAATCTCCTGAAGAGGCAAGGAGAGACTTGGCTTATTTTGCCTCCTCTAGAGCACCTAAATCTCCAACCATGATTGGGTCTCTAAAATTTCAGGGTCTATCCAATCACATTCGAGTTATACCAACGCTCACTTTCCCATTAAAAATCTTTTTTAGTATTTGATAATGACAAATAATCTAATGAAATTGGTCCTGATGTGGCAGTTTCTCAACTAACTAGAGCAGTAGGAAGAGTGTTCTCCAAGATTTAGACGTTAATATCATCCACTCTCAATCTAAGACTCCATGTATCACATTTCTTTCAGTCTTGCTGGGAGTATCGGAGGAATCATCTATTTGATCCTGATTTAGTCATACTTATACTCTTCAAATCTGTCACAACTATGACCGTCATTGACAGTCACCGTCAGGTATTCCCCCATCAGTGTCCATAATATCCAACCAATTAACGTCTACATGGTTTGAAGACCTTTTTCTGTAATCTCAATACCACCCTCTCACATTCCCTGAAAAAACTAAATGAACATAATGGAAAGGCATTTTCTCATTACCTTTTCATAAGAAGATCCAAATCAAACAATTCCTTTTCCTGTACTCAATCGTATCTTCCAAACAGAGAGCTGGTCCATCGGAGATCGAGCTGGACAAAACGCTACCTCTCTCCCCCTCTCTATCGTTTAATCCAGAAACTTCTGAGATCCAGTGCAATCAGTAGTCTGAATATTGCTCACGGACAATTAAGAATCAAGGTGGGGGCAAAGATAAAGAACTTTTTACGGGAGGATTTGGAATGACTTGAGAAATTTATATAACACTTGCCTATGTATAAAATGTGTGCCGTTGCGATGTCAGTCTCTTTCCTATTATTGAGTTTTAAGTTTGAGGATATTTTGAGGGACTAATAGGCTATAAAAAATTTAAAAGTCTCCCCCATTCGTTCAAAGTTGTCTGCATCACTATTGGATACCGTGAAAGGGACTAGAATTTATAAGTGGCAAAGTGACTTTACACATTAATACAAATATCATTACATAAATCTAAGCTCACACCATTAAGAACAAAATAAGTTTAAAAGTACTTGAAAATATTCACCAGAGTGATTGCAATTATATTTTTTGTTTAAGTCCGTTTACCAAGAAATGGAAATACTGTTTAATAGTTGAACAATATTTCAAGCCATACAGGGGCATTGTTTTCTACAATTAATATTGATTTTTTTACTTCTAGTTTTAAACCGATTAATTACTAATTTCGAACAAATCTACCAGAGACAATTTCATACCCACCGTAAACCATGGATGTTTGAGTACCCAACTGCCTCATTCAGCCGATTCGGAATATAAAATTGTTGGTGAAAAAACCATATCAGGCTCGCTAGAAAAGGACCTTGATGATTTGGGAAGTCTGTTTCGGTTGCACCTCTCACAGACAAAATTTTTGCAGTGTGGTTTAACTTGCAAACATGATGCAAATATTCTATTAGAATCATTAGGAATTGCAGCCTTCATTTATTCCCGTGTTCCACCTTCTCTCTCCCTCTCTTTCACAACTATTGTAGCGTTCTCACTCTACTCTCCTCTCTCAGTGGAGATCAAAGAAAAGTTGGGGGAAGGGGGGGTGGAATAGTTTGGGGTCTATATAGGATTCTTAAGTTTTCGTCACTTTAGAAAAACTGAGCAATTTAAATTCTCATTTAATTTTTACCTCTAAACCAAACTCAATGTACCTTTCAATGTCAATAGGTGCTAAAATCTTATCAAAGTAACATGGTTACGCTAGCAGTTCTTTGGGATAAATTTAACTTCCTCCTTGTCAGGGGATTAGCTCAAATCCCTCCCCCCCATTTGGATACTATACTGTCTTTGCTTTGCCAATTCTTATATTAAAATGTGGGGTGTGCGATAGACTTACCTCCAAGTGGTGCATCCTGGACAACGTATACTCATACGACAAAAAAGTCTATAAACCGGCAGTTGACTTCTGACTTCAGATTGCCATGTATGTGGTCATATTCGACCAATTTCACAGAATACACCTCTCCTTACCTTATTCTCTACCTTAGCGTCTGTCCCTTTTATGTCCGTGAACCACTCCTCTGTTCTCCCTCACAACTTTATCTCACATTGATGTTCCTCCTCCTTTCCGTGAAGCCCGAAGTCAGCTGAAGGACTAATCAAAACGCCTGCCATCTGAAATAAATTAATATTAAAATGCATATGAAGCGATCTCGTCTTGCACCCAATTCTGACAAATTCTTCCCAATGGACATCAGCTAAGATTTTACTGAATAGCATTGGCTATCTAAAGCCTTTACTGGCTAAAACAATATTTCCTCATATATCCTTTGGCCCCCTCTTGCTTATTATAGCTCTGCACATCCTAACGCTAAGTACTTATCCCAAACACCTTACGACCTAAATCACTGCCAATCACTCGCCTCACTCTCAATGGCGGGAGTAATGTGGGATTTGAAGATTGCGAAAAACGCATTCCCTTTTTAGCACCTTTTGAAGCGCTTCATCTCTATTCAAACAATTTCAGTTGCATGGCAACCTCGAAAATTGTGGGTTTAGATCTTGTAAACGAGCCTAGTGTAGGTAATAGGTTTAAAAATTGTCTCAGTTTGACTAATTCAAAATTGATTTCTTTTTTTGGTCGACGATTTTACAACCCCCAAGGTGACATTTTAAAGTTAAGTGAGCAAAATTAGTTGATACGTCAATGTACATATATATATATTTAGTTCAAGCATATATTTATTAATTTTAAATGGCAGTCGTTTTGATAGTTATCAATAGCCCTTTAGTTGACTTCAGGCTTCACAGAGGGGAATAAATAAATATGGGGGAAGTTAAAACCCAGAGATACTGGGAAGCAAGAAGACAGCTAATGAACTGCAATCAATTAACTGCTATATATGTTATATAAATATCATAAAACCTGCCATTTGTAATAATAATTATAATATTGGGGAAGTGGTATTTGGTAGAAGTATTCTTACTAATAAACCTTATCAAAACAATCCTGCTTCGTTTCTATTCTGGATTTACCTGCTTCTGAGCACTTGATGTGAAAATAGAATTGATGTGGAAGGATTTGACTACTTACCTCCTATGCTGGCAAGTTGATACAAGAGAGGATTTAGACCCTATTTATCAGTGTCGTCTACGAGCTTACAGCATATTCACCTTATTTTAATTCACACCTT